ACAATAGCATCAATTGCTGTCAAAAAAGCCGGCTCAATACATTGCCAGCAATCACAGCTCTGTGATCCAGCACTATGCATGTCGTACAAATACCCACACGCATGCGAAAGGGAATCCAAACGTCAAAACAGAAAACATTATTTCTACACAATCGTTCGGTGTTCATGATTTTGACAATAGAAAAGTTTCATTGAATGCACAATAAATAATTCTCTCATAATTTCATATTGTTTTTGTTCGCGATTCGATTAAATCATTCCGAAAATCCACACTTGTCAACAGAACAAATCGATTAGAGCCGAACATTGAAGTGATTACATAGTTGGGACAAACAATTGAGCCCTTGTTTATTGTGTGCAAAGACAACTGCAATCTGAAGGTAAGAACACACTCACAATTCAAAGCAATAAATTTTGCAATTGAAATGAGAATTGATTACATTCGATTGAATAAATGGATTTCATACAAACTAACAAATGTCATGTTGCAGCCGAACATTCAATCTCTCTCTGGGAACCGGTAAATTTGAACACAAACATCGAGCATAACCTCAACCACAGTTGAAGGTGAGTGAAAGTGAATTTCAGTTTAATTATTTTCTAATTCAACTCAAGTCCAATTTCAAATCAATTAAATATGTAACACATTGTGTCGTTCATTTTGCAGTACATCTATCGTGAGGAAGGAGCAAAGTCAACAACAATGCCGGTTTTCGATCCATTAAACAGTGACTACGCAACTCAACTGTTGTCGGCAATTGGAGAAAAGCTGTACTTGAACTCTGAATTGGCCGATGTTCACTTTGTCTCCGAATCAAATGATGACATCGAACGAGTGCCGGCGCACAAAATGCTCTTGATGGCGGCCAGCGATGTCTTCTCTAAAATGTTCAATGGATCATGGAAGGAGAAGGATGAGGTGAAGATTGTCGATATGTCAGCCGCTGCCTTCAAGGAATTTCTCCAGTTTTTCTACTTTGGCAAAGTTAAGCTGACGATGCAAAACGTCGCTGCAGTAATGAATCTCGGTGAAATGTACAATGTGGCCGAGTGTTTGACAGTGTGCAGCAAATTTCTGAAAAACAATCTCAACGATGACAACGTTTGCCAAAACTATGGATTGGCAATACTTCTCAACCAAGAGGATTTGAAGCGGTCATGTGAAACGGTTATCGGTCTTAACGCAAATTCTGTGCTCAAGTCAACTGGTTTTCTGTCGTGTAATCAAAAAGTGTTGGCCGAGATTCTGAAACTGAATTGGTTGTCGTGCACAGAGGTCGAGCTCTTCAAAGCGTGCATGTGTTGGGTTAAAGCAACTACCGGGATAGACAATCTAGCCAAGGAACTGGTGCAAGTTAAACTCGGTGATTCACTTTATGATATTCGATTTGGATCGATGTCATTCGAAGAATTTGGAGCGCTGGTTCCGACATACGGTCAGTTATTCACGACTACTGAATATGTGGACATCATTCAAATGTTTACGAACAAAGAATTTCAATCAAATAAATTTAACCAAAATCGTGAGAAACGCTGTGATTCGGATTCGTGGGTTGAGAGAAATGAAATTTTTTGCAGTCGATTATTTTCACGTTTCAGTTCGACAAACCCATATTTTGTCTCAAATTTGGAAACAACCAAGATTTCAAGCAACCAACCACTTTTGCTAAAAGGTTTCACTCTTGACTTCATCAAAAGTCATTGCAACGAAATATATAGCGATTGTGATAATCTTCCAACAGAAATAACAATAGTTGAAACGTCCGGTTCTGATGAATCCAAAAGAGAGTTGGTGAGATATAATGGAAAAGCCACATTGACGAGTTCAGAAGAAACAGCGATTACTCTACCCAAACCGGTTCTAATTAGACCTGGATTTATGTACGAAATTCGATTGAAACAAAATCCTCCAGAAAACTGTGCAACGGGCGTTCTACTGAAATCTGAAGTTGAAATGAAGGGTGGCATCAACATCCAATTTCATGATGACCCATTCCTACCGGATGATAAATCACCAACAGGCTTAATAAGCTATCTTCGTTTTTGCCAAATCGGAAATTAATATGAGCCAGGATATTGAACTGAATATTCTTTGATTAGAACTGAATTCTTCAAGTATTGTTACATTGTCCCTTACAAAAATTAATACGAATACAAATACAAATATGAAATAAAAAATTTTTCCGAAGGTATTATTTCAATTTTTAAATCGAATTCGAAAAAAGCTCGTTATGAATACAAAACAAATGATTGGATGAATATCGAAAACATGGCCAAACTGAAGTCACTTGTCCTTGCTCGAATAAACAGCAGTATTTATTACTTTACATGGACTGCACCAAAACAGATAATGATGACCGATTGATATAATTTTTAATAGATCAAAATTCATACAGACAGTTCGTTGTGAGTAGGAATCATTGTTCAATGTTTGCATTCGGGCATAGTTTGGATTTGTTTGAGTGGAAAAAAACTGCGAAATATTTCTTTTTTCAGGCAACAGCACACACTACGTTACACAGTATTATTATAACTCACACGCCGACTTGTGTGTGTAAAAACATTGAGCTTAACACAATTTTATCTGCTGTCTCTCCTTCTTTTTCTACATTTTGCATTTATAGCTCAGTAACGTTATCCCACAATGTGCACTAATACCAGCAAACATGCAGAACGAAACTCAAATTTCAAACAGAAACATACCTATTATGCATTTACTATCGCAATCATTCCGTGTTTATCGTTTAAACGACGGAAAAGTGTGATTTAATGTTTAAAAAAATTGCTTTTTCTGTCTGTGCTTCAAAATAATTCTTAAAGAACGTGCGAAGGTTTTATACCATTTATGCTTTTTTAAATTTTACACTAACTAGTGGAGCAGCCATGCTTATTTACTTGGTAATAGCAATCAATGAGCTGTGATCTGCGTCTCCACTACTGCTTGAAAACATCAAAAGCAAAACGGTAAACATTTTTAGCAGAATTTTCAAGTTCTTTTTATTATCTGATAAAACAAATTGATTAGATTAGATCAAGTTCATAATTTCATTGTTTCAACAATTGTGAATATTTTTATCGTTAGATATCAATAAATTGCAGATAAAAAACGTAATCACCTTGAATTTTGCAATTGAAATACGAATGTTGCATAGACTAAATGACTAACTGCAGTCAATAATATCCATTAATGTAATTAAACTGAACAGAATAAGTCGTATTGCAGCTGAAAATTCGCAGGTATATAATCAGCAAATCTCATTACAGCTATCGAAAATAACCTCAACCACATTATCAACATACATTTGAGGGTGACTTTTTTTCTTCAAAAATTTCGTTATTATGTAATTCAACTTAAGATACCGATTTCAAATCATAAAAATATGTAACACTTTTTGTCATACTTTTTACAGCACATTTATTCCACATCTACCAAAGAAAGCAGGAGCACAATCATCAAAAATGTCAGTTTATAATCCATTAACCAACGATTACATAAGTCAAACGTTCGTGGCAATCGGAAAAAAGTGGCCGATGTATACTTTGTCTTCGAATCAAGTGATGGCAGCGAATGAGTGCCGGCGCACAAAGTACTCTTGATGGCTGGCAGCGATGTCTTCGCCACAATGTTCAATGGATCATAGAAGGAGATGGATAAGGTGAAGATTGGCGATGTATTGGCCGCTACTTTCAAGCAATTTCTGCAGTTTTTCTACTTTGGTCAAGTCAAGCTGACGATGGAAAACGTCACTGCAGTGATGAATCTCGGTGAAATGTACAATGTGGCCGGGTGTATGGCGGTTTGCAGCAAGTTCCTGAAAAATAATCTCAATGATGATAACGTTTTTCAGAGCTATGGATTGGCTATTCTCTACAATCAACAAGATCTAAAGCGATCATGTGAGACAATTATTGGACTCAACACAAATGCGATATTCCAGTCAACTGGTTTTCTGGCTTGTAATCAAAAGGTTTTGGCTGAAGTTTTGAAGCTGAATTGGTTGTCATGCACAGAGATCGATCTCTTCGAGTCATGCATGTCTTGGGTTAATGGAACTAGCAAACAGAATGAATTGACTAAAGAGCTAGTGCAAGCTCAACTTTGTGATTTGTTTTACGAAATTCGTTTTGGGTCGATATCATTGAAGGTATTTGCTGCATTGGTTTCAACATATGGAACAATTTTTACGGATGCTGAATATACAGATATTATTCAAATAATCGCAGGCAATGAAATTCAAGCGACAAAGTTCAACAAAATTCGTGTCAAACGCTTTAAATTAGATCCATGGTCCATGGAAGAATGCACATGTGTTTGACTGTTGTCGAATGCTCTCTAAACACAAATCATCTCACCCATATTTCATAAAACAATCAGAAACTACGAAGATCTCCACCAATGAACCACTAATGCTAAGAGGTTTCGGGCTTGTTAGAACTTTTAAATATTGTAATGAAAAATATGGTGATTGTGAAGATGTTCCAATGGAAATAACTATAGTTGAAGTATCCAATTCCGAGGACCTCAAAGATGAAGTCGTGAAATACGATGGAGAAGCCACATTGAAGAGTTCAGGTCAAACAATCGTTATTTTGCCCAATGCGATTTTCATTAAACCAGGATTTATATACGAAATTCGATTGAAGCTAAATCCTCCAAAAAACTGTGCCACAGGTACTCTACTAAAATCTAAAGTTGATAGAGAGACTTCATCCAATGTCACCACCATTCAATTTCATGACGATCATATGTCAGAAGATATTTCGGCAACAGGCCTAATTAACAATTTATATTTCTTTCCAATCGCAGAATATTACATGCCAGAATAAACGCAAAACATAGTGAGGAAATTTATGAAGTAGCGTGTCTGCAAAATTGTGTATCAATTAAAAAATATATTTTATTTTATTGCAATTGAACTTTTCGATGATATTGCTTGTATCCTTTATTGAAATGAATAGAAAAAATTTAGATAAATGATTGCTTGAATAGATTTGACTTTACATTCTTGCATTAGACAAAAAAAACACCCGGATTTTCAAATTAAATTGAGAGACAATAAACAAATGTGACATTTGCCTCTGAGAGAGATGATAGTTTTTGTTTTTGAAGCATTAGCGACGTATTAGTGTAAATTCATCCAAAAACAGTTGAAACCGCTATTTCGCACTGTATCTAGATTACTCATTCCCCTCCGAAAACTTACAGTGTTGTTGAATGTGTACAAAAAATTATTGTGTTTGTTCTTTCTCCCTTTCACTTGTACAGAACAATAGCATCAATTGCTGTCAAAAA